CCCGTGGCCAAGATGACCACTATTCGTCTGTTCTTCGCAATGATTGCCATTCGTCACTGGCCACTTCATCAATTAGATATCAAAAATGCCTTCCTACATGGTGATCTTGAGGACGAAATTTATATGGAGCAACCTCCTGGGTTTGTTACTCAGGGGGAGTCTGAACCGGTATGCAAATTGCATCGTTCTCTATATGGCCTCAAGCAATCACCATGTGCTTGGTTTGGAAAATTTAGCTCCATTGTTCAAAAATTTGGGCTAAAGCAGATCATTCAGTCTTTTATTGTCATACATCTCTGGGTAAATGTGTTTACTTAATAGTATATGTTGATGATATAGTCATTACAAGAAATGATACTGTTGGAATATCTCAACTGAAGGAGTACTTGTGCAGACATTTTCAAACCAAGGATTTGGGAAGCCTAAAATACTTCTTGGGCATTGAAGTAGCTCAATCAAAAGATGGAGTTGTAATCTCTCAGAGAAAATATGCTCTTGATATATTACAAGAAACAGGTATGATCGACTGTAGACCTGTAGAGAGTTCTATGGACCCAAATAAGAAATTAACAACAGAAGAAGGTGAAGTATTCTCTGATCCAGAGAGATATAGGAGGTTGGTCAGAAAACTGATTTATCTCACTATTACAAGGCCTGATCTATCTTTTGTTGTTGGAGTGGTTAGTCAGTTCATGCAGGCTCCATGTGCTGGTCATTGGAATGCTATCATTCGCATTCTAAGGTACCTTAAAAAGGCTCCCGGACAAGGATTGTTATATGAAGATAAAGGAAGCATTCAGGTCACTTGGTACTGTGATGCAGATTGGGCAGGTTCACCAATTGATAGACGGTCTACCACTGGATATTGTGTCTTCCTTGGAGGAAACATTATTTCATGGAAAAGTAAGAAACAGAATGTAGTGGCTCGATCGACAACTAAAGCCGAATATAGGACAATGGTGTCACTAACTTGTGAACTTATATGGGTGAAGCAGTTCATTCAAGAGCTTAACTTCTGTGATATCCGACTATGAAGATGTATTGTGATAATCAAGCTGCTCTCCACATTGCATCAAATCCCGTATTTCACGAGAGAACTAAACATATAGAAATTGATTGTCACTTTGTTCGTGAAAAGTTGTTGACAAAAGAAATATGTACAAAGTTTGTTGGATCAAATGACCAACTCGCAGATGTGTTTACCAAGTCCTTAAGGGGACCTCGGATTGAGTTCATTTGTTCCAAGCTTAGTACATACAACTTGTATGCTCCAGCTTGAGGGGGAGTGTTGGAATAGATTAGAAAATATATGTAATCATTATACTTAAGGTAGGAGGTTGAGTGTTAGATAATCTCTGCAGGGGGTTGAGTGTTAGATAATCTCTGCACCTAGTTCTGAGGAGTAATCTAGGACTGTGTATTTAATGTAATCTCCCTATTGTATCAGTTTTTATCTATATAAATAGAGAACTATGAGAGGGGTTCTTCAAGCCCTCTAAAAACATTTTTTTCTCTGTTTTTGAATATCAAGTAAGCTTATTCCAACAATTATAATGGCTTTCGATATTAGGCTCTCCATAAAAAAGAATAAAATATTTTTATTTTAACTCTCCAAAACTACTACACATGTAACCAATTTAACCTCCTTTGTGTCTAGGCTTTTGATTGTTGGGCCTCCTGAATCATCTTCTGTTGTAATGTTTCTTGGGTCTTTCTAACCCTTCCTCTAATCATTGGTCCAATTAAGTATTCAATTAGATCTTCATCTTTCTTCTCATGACCTTGGACTTTTATGTCCGCTTCAGACTTATTGTTTGAAACACCACTTGGCAGGAACTTAAAATGATTTAATTGCTTGTAAAAGTGACTAAAGAAGCAAAACTGAAATGTTTGATGTTGTTATGGGTTTGCAACAATGATTAATGAAAAAAACAAGGTTTGATCTCCGAGGATGATGAAGAAATTGAAAAAAGAAAAAAGGACTAAAGAGAAGGATGTGGGCAACAATAATTTTTAAAAGGCCAGTAAGCTTATAGGTCATAATTAATAATTTATTCAAGAAGGACCAAAGATAAAACTATAGGTAGAGATGTTGCAAAGTTTTCTATGACAATGTCATGACATTTGATGTGTACAAAGAGCACCAGATTTAGGAGTGTTAAGAATATGAATTGGTACCTAACTCAATCCTACAAATACAGTGAGGTTTGCACATAACTTATATACTTTAATTTGACCATATCTATAATCAATGTGGATTTCCAACACACTTGACCCCCTCACTTCAAGGATAATGGGTGTTTTCCAATTGCACATCCGCTCACTCCAAGGCTCTCTCACTTTTAAGAATAGGTGATTACCAACACAAACCCTCACTTTGAGGCCCCTCACTTAGAGAAAGGATGGTTTAATAACAACCCCATAATTAGTAAAGGAACCATCAAATATTGCTAGGATAGGTTCTACTATCATAAAGCATCATCATTGCTTTAGTACCATGTTAAGAAAGCAGATTGGAGTCTAACTCAACTTTATAAAATTGACTAATAAGGTACGGTTTTACCTAATCTATATACTATAATTTGATCATATCTCTAATCAATGTAGATTTCTAATAAGGAGAATGCTTGATTCAATTTTAAATTATGGCCTAAGTTTAAGGCAGCTTCATACCATAAGGTCATAGTAAAGTACTTGAATCCGAAGAGGTTAAGGCAACAAAAGATGTTTTGGAACTTTACAACGCTACGTGTAAGAAAACATGTTGTACTATAATGCTTGATGGTGGACCAAAAAGTGGAGGACTATATTAAACTTTTTAGTAAAGTTTCTCTAAAATATAGAGTTGAATCTACCATCTCAAAAACAACTAATACAATTTATAAGATGTCTGATGCCATTATTAAAGTCGTTGGAGAGAAGAATGTTGTTCAAATTATAAAAATACCAATTATAATTGTAAGGCTCTATTGGAATCTATGTGCAACACATTACATTGATTTGATGCTAGAAGATTGTAAAACGAAGATAGTTGTTCATCAAGATAAAATTTCAAAAAGTATTAAAATTATTATTTATATTTATTGTAGGACATTTTTTATTTTTTTGTTGCATTACTTCATAGCGAGGATATTTGTTGTGGTTAGGCTTAACTTGCTTTGCCACCTTTTACTTAATACTAGGGTGTCTTTTGCAGCATAGGACCCTTTGATTAGAATGTTTACTAGTGATGAACGGAAAAATGTACTTATTTAGGAAGTATAAGGAATGGAAGTTCAATTGAAGATGTGGTTCTAGATAAAGAAGTTCAAAAGAATATTGTCTAATGTTTGAAGAGTGCAATTCCTATAATGCTTGTGCTTTGAATAGGAGATTCTAATGAAAAAAGGTTCATGGGTTTCATTTATAAGGCAATGAATTGGGCTTAAAAAAAGATACAAAATGAATTTATTAGTGACAAGAAAAGATACTTTACTAATCTCCTAAATGAAATCTTTAGATTTTACATGTTAGAATGAATTGAAACTTCACACTAATTCAGATTATTACTCTTCTACTTTTAGTTATGAAGATCTATGGAATATATTGATGAGAGGTGGGACAACCAACTCCATATGCTTTTGCATGTTACAACCTATTTTTTTAATCTTGAATTGCATGATATTCCTATCTCCATACAAAATATAGTGGCTAAGAATGAGGAGCAACATTTGATGGAGTTGAACCTTGAACATTTCAAGAACCAAGAGATGTTGTTTGGTAATTCCTTCACCATTAAGGCAATTGGGAAAAAGACAAACTTGGCAGGACTCTTGTGGAGATCAACATCTAGAATTTCAAAGTTTTGTCATTAGAGTACTAAGTTAGACATGTAGTTTTTATGATGTGAATGTAACTAGAGTGCATTAGAGATGATAAGATTTTCAAATTTGTGAAATTAGAATTTTAAATATAGTATTAGTAATTACATGTATGTTTACATCTGTATCCATTAGGTCCACATAAAGAGAAGTAGTTTGAAACAAGAAACAATGAGTGATGTTGTTTGTCATGGTTAATCCAAATTTGGTTGAGAAGGAAGGTAGATGAAGATCACTTGAGGAGTTTGAGCTTGATGATATTCAATCCGATGATGAGTGGTTTATGGAAAATATTGAAGGAGACTTTGAAAATGTAGGTTTAAATGATGCTCCAAATTCAAATGGAGATGATGAACACTTGGTTGAATGTCAAGCTCAAGGTGGATGACAAGAGGATGATGTTCTTTGCATCCCACCACTAGAGGATAAGGATGCTCTTAATGAAAGAGATGGAGCTAATCAAGATTCCTTGAGTTTTGGCATTAATTTGAAAGATTTATATTAGATGTTTACTATTTAGGCTTTAGCCATCTAGGGTGTTCTTTGTCTTAGACTTAGTAGTTGGTATTTGATAATTTGGTATTTTGTTTACTTTACTAGACTTAATTAATTAGGTATTTAAGTTGTTTTGTTTGTCACTCATGAGTTATGAATTGGTTTACAAGCTTTCATATGAATTATATAGTTTAATTATGTATTTTAAAGTGTGACATTGTGATGTGAGTGAATTTTTTTTAATTATTTAGATTATATGTATCATTGTATGAGTATATATCTCATATTAATGAAGGAATAAGATCTATGATCCGAATTACTATCCCACAATTCACCCATCTAGAGATAACATTCAAATTAACAAGCCACCGAAGATTATTTTTTATCCTCTACTTCAATTGATAAAGAACATGTTTTCGTATCTTTTACAAACAAAGGAGGCTCAACTCACATGATACACGAGATTGCCCAGCAAAATAAAGAAAAGCTCGTCTGAATCTGATTGGTAAGGGAAGCAAGATTATCAACTAGTCAATCCCCACATAATAATAATCTGCAAAAAGTTAAAAATATATATTTAATGTTGAAATTGTAATGTCAATTTAGTGCGAAGACAAATTAATATGTCACTAATGGCACCATTAATCAGTCTTCTTCCCAGGGTTGTGTCGGACAATATTTCTCCATGGACTCCTTTTTACGTTCTGGATCTAGGCTGTAAAGGGGAGAGGGGAAACACCGGTTATATCCAGTTTTTAGAAAGTCAAGGAGTAACAAAAAAACCAAAAGTTTTTATTGTAGAAAAGAATCACTTAAAATGAAGTCATCTCACAGACCTATTTCTGAATCCAAGAAGAGCATAGTGTACAGCACTTGCACAAGCTGAAGCAGGGGCTATGGCCGCAGCTGGAACTGCTCGAACAGCAGCAGCCAAGGCAGGTCCAGCGCCTGAACCACGCTGAAATTTTTTCAAGGGGTTCTGAACTAACACAGAAGCAGATTTTCCCAAGCCATCACTAAGACTCTCATAAGCCTATAAAATCAAGACAAAATTATGGAACACAATTATATTTGGTGATTGTACAAGCATCCATGATCCTCAAGGGAATGAGTTATTAAATCTAAACAGATTATGTGATGTAAGCAATTACACCAAATGGTTTAAACAAGTCTAATGATATTTATACAAATAAATTGATTACTAATATTGCTACGGGCAACTCCAGATCAGATTATTCATATTTTGTTTACAGAAGACGTGTTCTTTTATTATGTCCTTTCACCTAACACATGTTTAAAAAGTTGACATAGACCAACATATCATTCTAAATACTTTTGACATTTCACCTGTTGAATTCCTTCTTGGGCATCTTTAGGTTGATTAGACCGAACATCTGTTTTTGATTTGTCCTTTACAGGCGGTGGAACTGGAGAAGGTATGCTTGAAACAATATATTCTGCTTGGAGAAGAATGTCATGGGCTCCAGCAGCTAGATGAACTCCTAGTCCAACAGCTTCAAGAGAAATGCTTCGAAGAAATGCAATTGTACCTACAATGATTTTTTAATATTAGAATGAAAACTAAGTCAGTGTAGAGCGAGCAACTTAGCAGCAGAATTTAGTGGTCCAGAAAATTAAGGAAAAAATTCTATAATCATTCATATGGATTTAGAAAACTGAATTCAGTATCGGAAGCTTCGTTAAGTGCCAAGTGCCATTGTAAGGAACAATAAAACTGATTGTACGAGTTGAAGCAACCTGACAGTTTATTTACTAGTGAGAGCTTATCTCACAACCACCATGGGGCCTAATATGCCCAGCAATCCCAAAGCAAACTTCTTATGTAACAATGAGTAATGCATGGTTAACAAGAAACCCCTTATTATCTTATTAATCAAAAAAACCAAGCTTTAAACTTCTTAAAATGTAAATCAGAACCTTTTTTTATATAACCTATTGATTGTATGTTTATGTTATTAACCAAAAATAGGGTAACAGAATATTATGTAATTTAAGTTCTCTCCCTTATAAATTGAATAGTTCCGTTATTATCTAAACACACATAATTTATCATATTTTTATTGGTTTCTCTCTTTTCAACATGGTATCAAGAGCCTAACAAGAACCGAACCTTAATTTGTCCCTTCCTTATGGGCTCACTGCCAATTGATGTAAATTTCTTTTGAGAAACCATGTATATTTTTTCACCCCAACTGACACAATCTGAGCATTATTTTTTCTCTAGTAGTTGCCACTTCTCCAAGCATTTTTTATCTTCGGTACTAAACATGTCCTTCAAGCACTTTTTCTCTCCGGCATCTGTCATGTTCTCAAATCATTTTCACTCTCTTGACAACCACTATGCTCTCCAAGAAGTTCTTGCTCTGTAGCAGCCACCATACCATTTGAGCAATTGTTTTGCTCTCTTGACATTTGTAACATGATTGATTCATGATACATGCTCGAGTATGAGTAGGAGTGTAAAAGATATATTTGAAATGAAGCATATTCAAATCGATTGTTACTTGGTCAAAGAGAAAGTCATATATGAAGAAATATCTCCAAGTTTTATCAATTCTCATGATCAACTAAAATAGATAGATTCACTAAGTCACTACTACATCCTCATATTGACTACATATGTAACAAGCTTGGTGCGTATAACTTATATGCTTCAGTTTAAGGGGAAGTGTTAATATCTTGTAGATATGTTTATAATCTTATACATATAGTAACTAATGATATTATGATCAATTAGATTGATTCTATATTTTATGTTATTAGCTTAAAATAGGGTAACTAGATAAACTATAACTATGTTCTTAGGTTGTTGTCTGAACATAGAATTCATCACATGTCTTCTGGATTCGTCTCATTTCAACATAACCTATGCAATCAGAATCCTACTGCAATTAAAGAATGTCCAAAAAATGGAACTCATAAATTAATATGTCAATTAGTCATAGTTAAACAACAAACTCCAAAACTAATTCAAAAATAATAAATCAACTAATCCTAATTCAACTAATCATAATCAAAACTAATTGAAACCAGGATACAAAAATGCTCCATTCTACTATATCACTCAGTCCATGTTAGATTCACTTGGAAGCAGAAATATGTTGAACACAATTAAAAAAAAAAAAATTCATTAAGGAAACATTTTGCTAAATATATCAAATTAAGATAAATTGTGAATCAGATCCTAAGTGTTGTTATGGTCCAATTACTATGTACAGGTCTTGAGTCCCACAATGAATGTATGGGATTCACGAGGCCCTGGGCTCTCTCCAAATACAATGGTTAGCTGTTGTAGTATGCTTTCCCAAGGTTAATATCAATTAGTACCAGAGTTCTGCTTCATCTCTCTCAATTGCAATTGAGTAGCACATCTGGTGACATCTCTAATTCTGGGTTCACTTGGGATTATAGTTGTTAAATTATAAAGAAGAGAAGCATTGAACTAAAACCGTGTGTTCTGTGACAGCACGGGTGATTTTATATCTTGATATTTTATTTCAATATGATAAAGATATGATCCTAATATTTGTAATCATACAGATTTGATCCTTGTTTCTCTAGTTATAACAATAGTTAAATGGATGCCACACAACGAGCCTGCTGGGGCTGTAAAGTGTAATGGGGCGTTAAGATCCATTTGCAAGATATGACATTAGAGTCCTAGATTAGCAGTAAGGGTAAGTTGGATGTTTATAAAACTTTGGGCTCTCAAATGTGGTGTAATTCTTCCATGGTTAGTATCATGTTTCAATATCTAAATAAATACTTTGCTGATATGTTAGCATTACCAACAGATATCTCACAAATATTTCGATGAAAGTTCTATAGCTGCTTCTTTTTTTATTATCTCATACATAAAGCTAAACTATGCAGGTAAAACTACCAGAGAAATATCTATCGATCCAACCTACCTCTCTGCACACCCTTGAGCACTCTCCGGTCCTTCTTGTAGCTCTCTACTGGTGATGAAACCAGCTTTGCAGCACCAGCCCCAACTGCAATCAATGATCGTACAGTAGGAAGCCCCCGCAGTATTTTCCGAATCTACATATTGAAAATTGTAAATATTATAAATAAAGACAGCTAAAAAGTAGTCCTTACATTACCAAGTTAGCATACCTGATTCTGAGATATATCTTCCAACCACTCCCCTACAGTAGTTTCACAAACACTTCCCCAACCATAGACTCCAGAAGCTTGAACATGTTTCAGGTTAAGCTCAATCCCCTGGGACAACATACAAACATATTATCAAGGTATTCCATAAACATGTCCCAAGAGCCCATTTATATTTACTTTTAGCAACAAATAATTTATTTTTTGCATTAGTTATCGGAAATTAAACGAGTCAACAATGCTTGTTATATGATTTTCACTGAGCAGAAACAGCAGTGTTACACCATATAAAATTCTTATATCTGAGTCAACAAACACATCAAGCTCACTTTAAAGGAGAATGGTCTAGTTAAACTCTGTTGAAACGGAAAATGTACGGGACAGAGTTGTCCTGTACATTCTATGTAACTTGATAAAAATAACACCAATCTGTCACTTGTACTGCCCCCATTAAAATAGCAAACATTGATGCTATGCTGTTTAACAATGACACAATCGGGAGATATAATATGAGTAATTATAAAACTAAAATAAGAAAAGAAGAGGATAACCTGGGGCTATAAAGCTGGTCTGGACTTTATATCTAAACTTAATCAACAATAAGAAAGAAATAAAATAAAAAATTGAAGAAATTTTACCTTCCATGGGAAAAGATTCACAAGCTCTATATACTTTCCATTTCTTAAAGCTGCTAGATCTACATGCTTCGGACTGTAATCCACCCGAACAACAATAGGCCATATATCTAGCTTCTGAAACCAAAATAAATATATGAATACATTAAAATGATCCGGTAGAAGAAAAATGTATCAATTACTGTCTTCGATATGGTTTAAGATGACAATTAAACCACAACACAAGTGTTCCTTCAACTTGATTCTCACCAAAACACAATGACAACATAGATGAAAGGACAGTTCAATTGAATCTAACACATCTTCAGCTAGGTGTGGAACCTAGATTGATTGTATAATAATTTGGATTTCCCTATTTCTTTAAACATTTCATGTTGCAGCACAGAACACTGTACAGTCCAAAAATATAGCAAACAAAAAAAAGATTATGAACACCACTTGCCTGGAAGTAGGGAAGCAGTGCCTCTGGTGCAATTGAATGAAATACAAGATCTTTATTTTTCTGAGTCTTCTCGGGCAACGATTTTGAACCCTCCATATCTTGACAACTATTTGGAAACTGATCCTTCAATGTATTTCTTCTCCCAAAGAAATTAACAAAAAAATCAAGCTGGCTCTGATGGAGATGTAACAGCTGAGGTAAAATATTAACATTTAACCTGAAAAGGAGAAAGAAAAACATGTAATACATGAGATACTTCAACTTTTACTAAATAATATTTTAAAAGTTATAGGGAATGCTATCATGAACAAACTTTAATTGTGAAGAAAGACTAAGATATCTAATTCGCAAGTATATTTATTAACATTAATAGATAGCCATGAAAATTGTGATAAACATTCTAACTGCCATGTAAAGCTATGAGGAACCTAGAAGTCACAAGTCATCACCATGTTTTTATATCATAGTCAAAAAGCCCTAGCTAAAATAAGACTACGACTACTTGAAGAAAGTTGAAGCAATTCCCAAACAAGTCAAGCTAATTTCAGTCACAACTAATGGAAAGGATTACAGAGGGGATAGATTATATCATCTCCAACAACAACAGAGAATGTTATTGTAACACTTTACCTGTACTCCTCAAGAGGAGTAAAAGGATCTGGTCTCACTGCATCCAAGTCCAATTTAAATGCTTTTGAAAATGATTCCCTAGGATGACCTTTGGAGTAATAACATCCTAATACCTTCCAATTTAAAATAGAAATATCAAAACCTAGAAAATGTAAGTTTAAATATGTTTAATGTAAAATCATGTAAGCAACTAAACTTTCAAAATTACCAGTTTCCAAGGTGCATCATGACTTCTGTCATACAGATAAAAATCTTGAACAGAAACAGACATCTTAGATACATGTAGTCCACCAACTGGAAATATATCATACTGAAATCTCATCCCAGATAATGCAAGTTCCAAGCAAACAGATGTGTCTCTCCCAGAATGCTGCCCACTTTTCTCAGAGTCAAGCCAGTCAGAACCACCATACATTCTCCATCTTATATCAATTTTCTTAAGAATTACACGTCCACAAATCTCACCATGTGATGAACTATCATCAGATGAAAGCATGCCTCCATGATCTACAGCCTTTTTTGGTACAGGTTGTTTACTTTCCTCTGCAATGTGGTTTTCTAATACTTTCAGAGAGGTTCCTCCATACCATCCACTGCTTCCTCTTTCAATATCTCTATGTTCCACATTCCTCATTTTGTGTCTAGAAAGCTCATCACAATGAATACCTGAAGATAGTTCCAAAAGAGGGCATAAGTCAGACAAACAATAGCTTTCTATAACCTTTGGAAATTGCATAAATGAATGAAGTCTCACTACCTTCTAGTCCTATCACGGGCACTGGCTCGGTCAAAGTTAGTTCATGAGAGAGAACTTCGGGCTGAGGTAAATTCATTTGACCAACCTCAATTAAGCTTCCATCAAGTGGAATCCCTGATTCAGACGGATAAGGTTGGTGTGTATTTTTGTTATTTAATCTAAATGCATCTTCACATATTTCATCCATCCAGCCAGCTATACTAGATTCATCCGTTGAAAATGTTGGAAGAGAGCATTGTTCAGAAGATACAGACATCGAATCAAATCTGAGATTCTTATTTTCATCTGTAAATGCATTTCTTTGTTGTGCCTGCTGAACATTATGCCACCTATTCTGCAAATGCACAATAGATTCCTCCACATCAGGGGCAAATAATTGTTGAAGTTGAGCAGCCAAACGAATCAGATTAGCAGTTGTGTCATAACAAGTTTCCACATTAAGGTGAGATTTGGATAATTCCAGTTCCCAGAGAAGATTACTTGTACAGTTTGTTTTCAAAGTAGCCTCAATAAAAGCCTCCTGAGCAATTTTAACATAACCAGTCTTTTGAAGATGTTCAACACTATAAGTGCCAGATAGAGAATTCAGTTCTGATATTAAATGAAGTAGAAGACCCAGCTCATGCACTTTTATTTGGAAAACACTTTCAACTGTGTCTTCTGAAGATGAATTTGAAAGAGTTAAGCTGGATGCAGCCAACAAACAGGAAACACATTCTTCACTCATATCTTCTTTGATAAATGAAGAGCTACACTCTGAATGCAGGTCACTCTTAGCGACAAGATTCTTCAGATAAGGTTCATAGCTCAAAGCAATATCAATCAAGCACAGAACAAAATAAGTTGAACATGAGACATTTTTTTCCTTCTTTGCAATACTAGTATCACCCACATCTTTGGTATTAGAAGCAGGCAAACAGAAAAAGGATGATATTGCATCAAACCAATCAAGCCGACCACCTACAGCAATAACTGTACCACAACTGACCGTTATGGATGTTATATTATGTGTGCTCTCTGGGTCCGAGTGACAAATGACTTCAGAACCAGCACATTTGGCAGATAATGCATTAGAACCTCCTCCATCACCCCTCTTCACAGAAGAGTTGCTACAAGTAATCAGGAGAAACTCATGATCAGGAAGTCCGGTGACAAACCCCCACAACTTGCCTTCACCATGAGCTAATCGGAAGAAACTTGCATCCTTAATGCCACCAGTATTGGAAACTGACAGCAACTCAATCTTTTGAACCTTCAGCCTGAATTGAGACCACGTTCCAGAAAGTTCACTCTTGACTGAACTTTTGGTACTCTCAGATGTATCCCTATCAATAAGAATTTCAAGAGAATCACATTCCAAAAATACTGATGATTGTAAGACAACAGATTCCTTTTCAACATTGGCTTCCTTAGAAGTCACACATGTCAATGCATTCAATGTCTGATTTAGAAGGTGATGTATGCCTTCATATTGAGAAAAATTCACATCAATCACAACTTGAGATAGATGGATATGTACAAGAAATGATGAGCTTAGAATCATCTCTTGTTGAGTTTGAGATTTCCAATCTTCCAGATCTTTCACTGTTGATGAAGATACAAACTCGTACCCCCTTCTTCCAACGTCATCTTTGCCCCTTGTTTGCTCTGAATTAGCAAATAATCTGGCTTTCTTAGCAATCCAAGGACCAGTCACTTTACCCCCTTGCCAAACAAGTCGAAAAACAGAGAAACATTCCCTTCTATGAAAAATAGAAAAGATGTGGCTAGCAGAAAATTTCTCATTCTGCACATCATTGGAGATGATTCTACCATTCTTTTTGCTTGTTGTGATCAAGTAGATGTCAAGATCACAGAAACTCAATTGAAGAGATTGAGAAGATACTGAAGGAAATATTTTCTTCGAACTTGCATTTGAACTTTGACTGTAATCTGGAGTGCAACCATTGTTCAAAGGTGATGATGAAGTAAAATCAAGAGCAATGAACTGTTCCCAGGGAAATGAATTGTTATGATCCACGTCCCTTTCAAATGGAAAACACAGTATCACTCTTGCATTAGAAATTGATATATCACCATTGAAACATTGTGTTGTGGAGAAAGATGGCACACAGGGACTAGAACCTTCGTTCATATTACTCTGAGACAATCCACACTTGTTATCTAAGACTTCAGACAGAATTTTGTTTTCTTTATTATGCATCTCAAGCGATCTTTCAACTTCATTTAGTAGATTCATGAGCACATTTATTACTGAAAAGATTACCCAAAAAATAAATGGGGGCAAGTTCAATGAGAGTGATGTCCTTCCTGTCAGACAACCATCAGGTGAACTTGATTGCTTTGAAAATTTGCAATTAAGGACACCTGAAGTTCTAAACAATGTAACTTTCAACAAACAATCATTATTTCCAAATGGAAAATCTGTAGCAACAGGCCCAATTAATGAATGTGAATCTACATTGTAAGAGGTAGATGAAGAAAGAGCATCAAGGACCTTAGCTTGTAGATGTTGAACCAAAGCACTTTGATTTTTAGCATCAATTCCAATGTTCAAGAAATTAACAACTTCTACATGCTTCACATTTGCATCAAGACTCATGCCTTGAGGGCATACCTATTGGTATTACAATGCATTTAAAGTTAGTGGAGGAATGTATTCAAAAATAAGTAGTAGAGAGTACATATAGGTAAATAAGTCTCTCAAAGCAAGCATGAAGCCATGCATAGGTAAAGATTTTGCAAAGGATTTTTTGGAGAAAGCATAGAAGCAAAATTTACCTGCAAAGCAAAATCAATTTCATTGCACTCTGCACCAAGATAATCAATTTCTAACCCCATCATGTGATCAATTTCATGGTCAGAAGATTTATTCAGTTCATCAACACAGCAAGACAAAACAACAGATATTCCAGCAAAAGTTGCCCTGAGATTGGTTTCCATATGTTGCTTTTCTGTTTATTAATATCATTATAAAAGTTAGTTAATAAAAAATTATCAAAAGGAAATAGTATATTATTTGTATGCTTATTTTGTGCACAAAAATTAGAAATAGCAATTCAGCTCCCATGAGACAGTCGTGAGGAGTGAACCATATATGAAAAGTGTAAGCCAAATACGATTAAGGTACAAACTTTCCATAACAAGTTGACTACAAATAATAGCTTGCAAAATTTACTACCGGATGGAATATGCAAAGATCCAGAAGCAAGGCTAGATGCAGCAGTAATAGCACTAAAAACTGAATATGTCCAATTCCACATTCCGCTGCTTCCTAAAGCTGATTGAGAATTTCTCATTCCATCAAAACATTCAAAAAACTGGTCCACACTGCATAATTCCCATAACAAAATTATCAACAGATTCAGAGTCAATAAAGGTAGGAACACCTATAAACTGATAAAATACATACTTGATTTAGCTACCATGTATATAATAGATATCCTAAGAAAATGATATTTGCTTACATTGTTAACATTAGGTAAAATTGCACAAGTATACAAATTATATAGTTTACCTGAGAATAACTATAATGTTTAATCGATAATACTGTGAACAAAATTTATACTTCCATATTAAAGTTTTAAGACTTGTCTGTAACACATACATCCAGTAAAGATATTTTAATGCTCGAAGAATTTAAAAATTTTCAACTGCAGTTTCATTTTCTCTTTTTAAGGGGAGGATAAATTGATAACAAATGTTGAATCAGAAAGTAGCATAAGAAATTTTCCTATTAAACAACATGGAGACCAAGGGAAAATTGTATTTTTGAGATTGTCCGGTTGTGAGGTGAATTAGTCAAACTTGTTAAGATTTTCAGAGTTGTCATTTGTCAAGTTATCCAGAGAGACTGCCAATGGCAATATATTTCAATGAAACGTTTCTCCAATAATGATAGCATTTAAAGGGGAGAAAGAAGGACCTACCTTGCCCCAAAATCATGTTCTTGAACACCATCTTTATTATGAAGTGTATCAGAAGACGATGGCACCCAATCGGATATAACATGAGCTGCAGGAAGTAAATCTTCAGGAAGGGTTTCAGGTTGGATCAAAGAAGTGTATTCAGTTGGCAAACTATCATTGGCAGTTATAATCTCATTGGGAGCATTGGTAATAGAAACTGAAGTTGATGAATGGCGTAACAATGTAGAATTCAACTGAGTAGATCCTCTTATATTGTGATTTGAGCAACCTAGGCCATCCTTATTGAGATTCTTAAGTCTTTCCCAGGATTGCAATAGCCATTTAATAGTGCTAGGTTGAAATCTTAACACTATGGGATCAACACGAGCATCAGCATCCACCTTGCAAATGTCCAAGGAACCATTCTTCCAAGGAATACTTAATTTTATATTTCCACTAATTCCACCTTGATTCCCTGTCATGACTGGGCATGTTGCTATATTTGACTCCAAAACAGGTTCATCATATCCTGCTCTTGATTCATGCTGAAAATATAAATCTTCATTATCTATTTTGAGAAGCTCAATAACTGCACCATGAAACTTTACAAAATTTGTTAACTGGCTTATTCCAAGGACATCAACATTCGAATCAGCATCTTCAGACAGACTAGTTCCACATTGTATTTCAGAAATCTGAAGAACTAAGGTATGACGACAATGTATCTTATTTTCTACATTATCTAAGGATGGATCAAATGCAACAATTACATTTGTTATTTTAACATGGAAGCTTGTTAGCAACCATTTTATCATGTTTGCAATAGTTTTCACACCTTCATGAACATCCATTGAAGCCAACTTCTCAGTATCATCTGACATTTCATGCTCAAGCCTTGTTGAGCTGTATTTGTGGTGATGACTATCACTATTATCCATGCCACAAGTTTCATCTTCACTAGTTGACATTTTATCTGTGCGGGGAGAAACTACTAATTCAAGCCCATTCACTTCAACCTCACAACCTTTACCACTCCAAGGCATTTTAATCAACAGGTAGCCAATTGAACCTTCTTTGATCATTATAGATGATGTCTTACCAAACTGTTAAACATTACAGGAGAAGGCAATAAGTGAATGAAAAAACAAAATAAATACTCTTAATGCTTTTCAGCTGAGAACACCTTCCAATTCAATGAAAACAATCTTAAGAGTTTACTTTGTGATAAAAGTTACACCCTATATTAAGAGTTCACATTATTCTAATAACAAACACCATTTGACGTACTTAGGTCACATTTGAAAGAGCTTATGCTATGACTGTCCATAAAATGTTCTCAGCTTATTCCAATATGCTGTCTAGGACAGTTTATGAAAACAACTCATATAGAGTATAAACACAATAATATATAAGTACTTATTCAGTGAGACCTTAATTAAGCTATCTGTCCATATGAGAGATGATGCATGTATGAGGAGCAAATCAAGTGACAGTTATCACAAGAGATTGCCAGAAAACCATTCCTTGAGCCACAAGACCTTACTTGTCCCTACCAAAAATCAACTAGCTAAACTTTTATTCATCAACAAAAACAGAAAAGAAAAAAATTGACAGAGCAAGAGTGTCGACCATTCAATCTCACCTAGCTGGCCAAAACTAGAATTACAAAAAGGCCACATGACTTTACAACCTAACCTTGACCATACACACACGACCAATGAAAAGAATTTAATCCTCTCCCTTTCATGTGTGTGTTAGTAAACAACTAATTCAAATTAAGTTTTTGGCTTCCGTCTGGAGTATTGTCAACACACTATTTATTGCATGCTTTGATTCCATGATTCAACTCATCATGCCTTCATTCAATACTAAGAACCAATCCATTAAAAAAAAAAAAAGGCGGACAACAGCACTAATACCTTGGTGTTGATGAGGTCGACATTGAGAGCGAGATCGTTGAGCTGAATGGTTCCCTCGGAGAGTTGGACGTCGAGCTGGTCGAGGTCGAGGTCCCCGAGAATAAACTGGCCAAGTTTCTTCTTGAGGAAGAATTTGCAAACCCTCTTGAGGGCCCAGCGGGAGAAGGTGGCCTCGGCGGATTTGGCAAAGTTCCGCCAGGGGAACATGGTTGCGGGAAGGTGAATTGGATGGAATTAGGGTTGGGAGAGAATCAGGACAGGATATCGATATCGGAGGGAAGGATGTTGGGTGGTGGCGGCCACGAACTATAAAACTCATAAGATAGGCACGCAACCACAAGATTGCAGGAGAATAGGAAAAACCGTTTTAAAAATCACAAAGATTCTATCTTCCACTTTTTCGTCTCATCGTCCCTTTTTCACCTCTATTTTTCTGTTTTCCCTATTTTTCATTTTATTTCATTTTTAAATCAGTTATTGTACATTCTGTTAATACTAACTAATTAATCTTAGATACAATTATTAATTAAAATATAAATATAAATATAAATTAATAATACAAAATTAATAGATTTTTTATAATTTAATTTATATTTAAATTGTTATCACATTTAATTTAAAAAATCTAATCGAATTTATGTTAATATGGATAATATTGGAAATTTAAATTATATATAATAGTAGAGATAATGAGCATTTTTGTAAGAATAAAAAAATCATCACAATAAAATAATAATTACCAAATAATAAAAAAATATTAATATATATATATATATATAAAAACTTCAAAATTAGTATTATTTACATATTAGTATAAAATAATGATAATTTCACAATGATATCATTCATAATTTATAATTTAATGTATGTACATTAAATTATTTTAAAATACACACTTAAAATTTATAATATTTTATTTTATTTATTTATTAAAAATAAATATTTAAAAAATATATAATTTTATTATATTATATATATATATATATTATTTAAATTAAAGGAGTCCTAATATATAAACTAATCATTTACAATTAATTATGTTCATCCAGCATTCAATTCTTCTAGAAAAAAAAAATTGTTGTTATAAATCTTAAATATATCTTGACCTTATAATTATTATAATTTTGTATTATCATTTTTTTATTATTACATTTTAATTTATATTCAAGTTCAAATTTATAAAATTTTGAAAAAAAGTGGATGGTCTTCAATAAAGAAATAAACTGAATAAGAAGTAATTACTTTCAAATGTTGGTACTAAATGTTTTAAGAAAGGAGGGCCCATCATGGAATTATGCAAGCAACTAGCTCCAATATTTATATTGACTTTGTGGCCTTTTTCCCTTGTCCATGGGTGATCTGGGTGATATGCTGGAGGTAGAAACTAAGGGTACAAAGAGGTTTTTCTGAATGCACACGCCATATGGACTTCATTTGGATCATTGTCCCTTTTCGTTCCCACTATACGAAAACAACAAGTAATTGTAGTACAGATTTGGAGATTTTAGTAGCATAAGTAAACTATTTCTCAGGTTTTTATAAAAATACTTTGAGATTTTTTTAAGAAGAATGACAGAACTTTCTCTTAGATATTTAAAATCTTTTCAAATCTGAAATTTTTTTATATTCAATTACAGAAAAAGTATATTCATTTTTAAAAAACAAGAATATCAAGATAGGAAAAAAGAAAAGAAAAGAACTCACAAGTTTATAATGTTTCCATTATTCTTAAATCTATATCCAGATTTAACCAAGTAACATTAGTCTCGGAGTTTTTTTTTTTTACTTTAAACCAGATTACACTATAATCTAAAAATTTTGATTTACAATAACTTTTTATTAAGATCACAATACTTGAAAATGTTTCTCCTCACAATTTTCAAGTTAAATTGATGTAGTTAGTCTCATATACATCAAAATTCAATATAAGATTTGTAAAAGAAAGATATAAAACGAATTCACCTTAGATTCACATAACAATGCACCCTATAGTCAAACAACATTTCTTTGAATTTGATCTTCAAAGCATTTTTTAGAATTACATTTTTTTCTTGATGTCCACACATTTTTTTCTAATTGCTTTAATTTGTTTTTTTTTAAGATATATTTGATAGAATAAAGTTTGTACATTTTTATAAAAAGAAAATTATTGTACCTGTCTCAGATAATTGATTAACAGATTTATCTAATTGATTATTTGAGTACAAGTGGTAGTATAAAAATAGTCATATAATTGATTAGGTATCAACATAATCGATTATTAGCGCATTGTGTTAAAACTGAGATTTAGGTAAATAATCGATTAAGTGACCACATAATCTATTATTAGCGCATGTTATGAAAACTTGATTTTAAGTTATATAATCGATTAAGTATTTATCTAATCGATTAATCTAGTTTCAGTTTTAATATATTTTATTATTTTTACCTTCAAAGTTTAGATTATTTGGTTTTATACAAACTACCATACTAACTACTTCTATATCATAGACATCATTAAAAGGTAAATACTCTTTCTTCTTTATTAACAATCCTTCTTCATCAACAGAAGCTAGTATATATAAGATAATTTAAGAAAAATTGTCAACTAAAAAGATTTATGTGATTTCAAAAGATAAAATGTTATATTTATATTAAAATATTGGTTAAGGTGCAAATTTATATACAAACATTTAAGAAATATTATGTAAATAAGTGATTATTATTTATAATTTGTTTGTCTTTCTGTTTAGAGTATATAAGACATTAGTTTTGTGAAATTGATATATCGTAGAGATTAAGAAATATGAAGTTATAATAACTTTCTAATTATAATATTTTTATTTATTATCTCAAGACAAAGGGATAGTAGGGTGTCAATATCATAAACAATCATTGTATGAATATAATAAAAAAAATCTATTGTTTTACAAATACACTAAACAATGGGTTTAGACAAATATGATTGAGGCTTGTAGGGTAGAAAATAATGCAAGAAAGAAGAGTAGGCTACATGTGAAAGAACAAAAGAAGTTAAATAAAAATACTAGTTTAAAGCCACAAAAGTCAAAGAAGAGCTAGCAATCTCATATACATGAGTTTGCAAATGCTAACAAGCTTGAGGATAAAAGCCTCACTCGCATGAAACTTTAATTGGGTCAATAATGAGACTCATTGCACAACAACTGCGAGTGAAAGTCTTGGTTAATTCCAAAACTATATTAACTCAAACAAGAGTTATGGCAAGTGGGCCAAACAACTCATGGAAGGAGAGGCAAAAATAGCATTAGGTGAGGAGCAAAGAAAAGAATATGAGGTTGATACGAATGGGCCATTTAATGTAGGAAAGTGCAAATTGGATTCTTACATAAGGAAAGGAAGAATCCATGAAAGCATTCTATAGCACCTACAATGGTAGATAGAGGGAATTGAACAAGTAAGAAGATCTAGTTGGAAAATGACATCAATAGAAAGTCATCGTTTTTAATAAAGACTAAAGTTACAAGCAAAATGGATCAATATGCAATAGTTAAAGTAAAACAAAGACCAATATACAATGGGAGCAAATGACACCAATAGGAATAAATGACACTAATAGGATGTCATCGCTTTCAACAAAGACCAAAGGTACAAGTGAAATAAGGGATAAATATGCAATGGTTAAAGTGGTGGGAGTAATTAAATAAGGGATATAACTAGACATTTTCATCCACATAACCTTTCAATGATTTCTATAAGGTCACCTACAAAGGTGATGGTGCACTACGTTAATGTTAGTTCTTAACTCATTCAATAATCCCATATCTAATGTGGGGGTGGATTGGGGGTGTTAAGAATTGTAATAGGTTGCTTTCGTTGAAAAATAGGTTAACTTTTGCTAAGAAACTGTGGGATATGGTAAAATCTTTAGGTGTAACATTTCATGGAAATGAGGAAGTCATGTTGAAGAAAATTGAGGAAAGAAATATAAATCAAAGGTTGTTGGTTGAGTAAGAAGAGAAAAAGGGGAGAAGAAATGGTTTCCAATGAAGATATTAAACCTAAATATTAGGGGTCCAGGGATCAATGAAATGGAAGTATGTGAGATAATAAGGAGTGTATTGAACTTGTATGTATCTAAGAGACTAAAGAAGAAAGTCTATGACGAGACATGATGCAATATAGGGAGGTGGAGATATTGATTGGAGATGTACTTTTACACTTGTTAAAGTTAAGGGCCTAATACATACATACATATATATATATATATATATATATATATATATATATATATATGTCAAAAGTAAAGTTTTTAAATGGTTGATTCTTTCATAGGACGAGATTATTTAGGATTGTATATGGAGTGGAGGGAGAATCATGTCACATGCACAATGGTGAATATCTACTCATCCAACGTCATAGTAAAAAGAGAAAGATGAGGGTAGAAATATACAAGTAAGACAAGTTAACAGGAATAATAAATGATGCATTTTGGGAGACTTTAATGCAATTAGAAATGTGGAGGAAAGGAAATGACACACACATGGGAGCTATAACTTCAAGGAAATACGATAGTTTAATGAATTCATTGTTAAGGAGGTGGTGGATATCCCTTTAGTAGGGAGAGGTGTAATTGGTATAAAGCAAGTGGCTAAAAGTAGAACAGACAAATCCTGGTGTTGAGAGACTAAGTGGATGAATGGTTAGGATATCCACACTGTGTGCTTCATAAAAACATGTTTGATCCTTTTGCTTTGATTCTAATGTCACTAGCAATAAACACATTGTTAGATGTATGATTCATTGTGAAAGGATTCACTAAGATAGTTTAAAGGATTTTAGGAGGGTTACCATATTCAAGGTTGGAGAGCATTTGTGGTAAAGGAGAAATTGAAGTTGCTTAAACAAGATTCAAAAGGTGGAATAAGGAGGTATTGAGGGGCAAGACATTAAACATGCAAAAGCTAATTGATAGGATTAATGTGTTAGATCAAGTAGACAATGATGAAAATCTAGAAGAAGAAGGGAAGCAAAAGAGAGACAAATTTTATTTGTAGAGTTTAGAAAGTTGAACTTTATATTAGAATCTTTTGAACAATAAAAAGCTAAATCTAGATGGATAGCTTTGTGTGATTCAAACTAAAAATATTATCAATTATAAATATGAGGAGGTGTAAAAATGAAGTTAGAGGTTATACAAAGGGGAATGAACTTATAATCCCAAGAGAGTGAGGATTAAAATCAAACAATATTTTTATGATAGTTTTCTTGAGGATATCCCAGAGTAACAACAATGATGTTAATAGTTGCGTTTGAAGAATGAGACATAAAAGAGGTAGTATAAGATTGTGGTGGTAGGAGAATTCCTAGATTTGATGGATTCAATTTCAAATTTACAAAAGAGTTTTGGGAGATAATGAAGGGGGATATAATTGTAGTAGTGAGGGACTTTCATTCACATGGGAGGTGGTCAAAGAAAGGTAATTGTTCTTTTATTACCTTCATTCCTATGGGAGATAACTCCTAAAAGTTAACCGATGATAAACCTATATTTATAGTATATAAAATTGTATTGAAGATGATGCAGACATAAAAACTCAAGGTTATGATAAGAAAGATGAAGATTATTGAAGATTTAGTTGAACCAATGACTAGGCGAAATGTTAGAAAGACTAAACATTACAACAGAATGTGACTCTTTTATGGGAGACCCAAGATATTGAGGAAGCTAAGATTGTTACATGTATAATAGGATTGGAAAGTTAAAATAAAAACATATATTTTTATGAAGAAACCATTAATTTATAATTTGCTTAATCTACCATTTGGGGCAAAATTAACTTTACTTGTAATTTTTTTAATTTTTTTCCTTTTATTTAATTACAAACAAAGTTAAACTCTAAGAAAATCCTAAATTTATATTTATGATTATTGAATTTGAAAAAGAGGCAACAAATGATTTTTTTGTCAAAGTGAAAACATTTTTCTATTAGGGTTCTTCTTTGCATCTTCAATCTTTTAAAGAATTCATGTCAATCATCCTTTGACTTATCAACTTTTGTTTGTGATACCTTCATTAGCCGTTACTCTAGTTTGTTTCTTATTCTCAATTTTGTTGTTTGTTTTATTCAATTCCATAACCTAAATACTAATTTTCCATTATTTTTTTCCCTTGAAATCATATCATTTGATGTTTGCTAATATACTAAAAAAAGGTTTTGAATAAGGTTATTAGTGACACTTAGAATGCCTTCTTTAATGGGAGAAATATGTTGGATGAAATTATAATTGCAAACAAAGTAATGAAAAGAGATGAAAAGAAAAATAAAATAATGTATTGTCCTAAAGGTGAATTATTAGAAGACCTATGATTCACTTATATGAAAAATTTTATTCTATATAATGATCTTTGGTATCAAATGGATTATAAGAAGGCTTGGGTCCTATGAAAGTGAATCAAATGGATTCACCTTATTACCCATGATAAATGACAATCTTTGGTATCAATATTACGGTAAATAACAATCTTACACCTTGAATTTAGGCATCTAAAGGGTTGGCATAAGGATCCTTTAGCTACATTCCTAATATGGATTAACTATATTATTGTAGTCAAACTTTGGATGTAATTTTTATACTAATGTCTAGTGATTTTGACTATTCATTTTGAGGGACACAAATAATATATTATTAATAAATAATAAATGAATATAAAAGGGTGAAAGAAGATAAAAGAGTGAGAAGATAAAATTGTAAATATATGAGTAAATAAATTAAATGATCATTAAGTTTGGACGACTAAAATTATAAATTATATGGAAGTTATAAAACTTTAGGGAGGGGTGTACCTGACCCCCTCCCTTCCCAAGAAGGGCCGCCACTGCTAATGTCCTTTCACATGAGAATGATAAAACGAGTTAGGCTTGACGGATTGATCCATTAGACTGCATAAAAAATGATGAGACGGGTTAGTAGTTTTAACCCGTCAACCTGATTTTGCTCGTTCCATCTAACTCGCTAACCACACATGTCAAGGATGGGTGGACGAATTGACCCTCTTTAAATAAATTTTTATATATTAAAATTAAAATAAAAAATTATAACTAAAATATTATATTTTTTATCATGGTATTAAAATATGTAAATATAATAATATATTATAATTTAAATTATAAATATTAACCAATTAAATTTAAATTATTGATTATAATTATTTTAACTCACAAATAAGATGAATTTTTAATTTATCTAATAAAAATATTAATTAATAAATAAAAACTTAAAAATTATTCATATAGATACTTTTTTTAAATACATACAAAAATTTTTTATATAAAAAATATTGGCCAACTGATTCATTAGTTCGTTCATGTGTCCAAAAAATGACTCAGGTGTATAGTCCATTATAATTATGATAGGTCAATATGTTTCATCCTATCTTTTGCATATTAGAAACACAACAGGATAAAATGTAACACACCATTTTTCTCTCCCTCCAAATCCTTGTGATTAAGTTTTGAAATAATTTTAAAATATGTAAACATAATTAATATATAATACCATCGAGAGAATTCATTGTACAATTTTTATGTCATAAGGAGGGATTTAAAAATATAACCATTCTAATAGGCAAAAATGTAAATTTAGTCAAGTTTCCATTTTTTTAATAAATTTAAAAATATAAATGATAAAATTTTTATATTTTTATTGTTAATTAATAAAAAAATACAAAATAAAAACCTGTTCATTGAGTTAAATGATTATGTTTATATTATAAGTTAACTTTATTATGTATAGTTACACATCAAATGGAGGTTACAAATGGCAATGTAAAAATAAAAATAAAAAATGATGAATTTCATATAATTTTTTTAAGTAAATTGAAATAATTTTGAAAAACATTGAAATGAAAGAATTTTAAATAATCCATAAAATAAATTTTGCACATGATAAAAATTTATAGTTTTTTTTTCATAATAAAACATTGTTCGAATTGTCTATTTAAAATAATATTTTAAAGGTGAAATAAAATAAATTAAAAAATCAACATTTTTTAATCAACATTTAAGTTATACATGCCACTCTTTAAAAAAATCCATGACAAGTTAAGTAATTAATAAATATATTATCTATTAATTTTTATAATTTGCAAACTTTTATGATTTAATTTATTCTAAAATAATTTTAATTTATTTTTCATAAAAAATTTTAAATGTGTCATTTGACTAATTTGATACTTATACTAATTAATAAAAGATTAATATATAAAATATAAAATTCATATGTTTCTTCCTTAAACAATCAATTAAGTTAGTGTTTTAGTATTGATTCTTATGTATAAACTACATTGTTAAAATTTATTAAAAAAATCAATTATCAATAATTAATATATATATATATATATATATATATATATATATATCCTATTCAAACTGCCATGTAAATAGATTTATTAATTTAAAAATTACATAGAATTTGTTTTTATTAAAAATTTCTTCATAAATAATTTTAGAAGAAAAACATTAAATTTCTTATTAAATTAAAATTATTTTATATAAATTAATTATCATTTTTTGAAAAATTAATATAAAAGAACTTAATTATAGATAAATTAATATTTTCTTATTATTTCCTTTTTCATTATTTCCATTTGACAGGTACAGCTATTCCTTCTATATATCGTAACATATATTGTTTTTATCACCGATCTCATTGTTTTTGTAATAACCGACCGCACCTGCAGAAGAGTAAGCATAGCAATGGAGATTAAACCTGGTTTGTCAGCACTAGTCACGGGTGGTGCCTCTGGAATCGGTAACTCCCTCGTTTCCTTTATGCTAATCATAATCATGTCTATCACTCTTCTCTTCCACTTCGAAATTATGGAATTGAAATTGTAAAAAATAACCTTCAGTTGACTTTAGGAACCGATTTAGCTAGCTATTTCGGAGATTTAGCCACTCCTGAAGTTAATTAACACAAACTGTTAACTGTGGTACGCGCTCTTTCGAATTAAGGATTTGATTCCTTCACTCTATGAGAGTTTGTTGCAGAAGCACTTTGTTCTTTGTGCTGTTTCATAAAGAATCTGTAGTAGTTTAATTGGGAAGAGAAACATAGAAAACTACAGAGCGCGTGTTCAACCCCAACTATAGTAATTGAAATACTTACTCAGTCCTATTCTTCTATCCATATATGTAAGAATTAGTTTGTCTAGATGAATTTTTCAATAAATACTTTAATTTTTTCATATAAATTAAAATTAATTTATCCACGTGCTAAAATCAACTTTTGAGAGGCTCCAACTATGTTAAGCTTTGGTCACAGACAGGTCAAAGAAAGATAGCAGTTCACGTGATTTTCATGCATCTGCAACCAAAATATATGCTCGATGAAATTTAGTTTATATAACGTGATTCACTTGAATTATTTGCGTTTGATGGATTATATGTTTCTGGTTTTTTTTTACAGGCAAGGGTCTTGCCTTAGCTCTTGCAGAGAAGGGTGTATTTATCACTATTGTGGATTTCTCTGAAGCAAAGGGAAGACAAGTCGCAAGTCTAGTTGAGAAAATTAACACCAAGTTTCATTCGAAGTTAGAATTTCCCTCTGCCATGTTTGTGAAATGTGATGTGACTAATGCAAGTAAGTGGCTTATTCTCTATTAGAAAGACATTCAGAAGGCTTCCCCGTGCTAGAAGTTGGAATTGCCTTCTTATGGGCTCTATTTGAGATTTTTATCAAACCTCCTTTGTTCTTCTTCAATGCAAGTATAGTGTTTCGATTTGGTGTAAAGTAACACTGCTTAACATGAAAATATGTAGTTATAGAGACTTATATTATATGGTAGAAAGCATATGATAAAGTTTCATAATCTGTAAATGAATTTTGTGTTCCAAGTTCCAACTTTCATATATAATAAGTCATTAACATCACTTGCTGTTTTGATTGTCTTTAGTGTACATAAATGTATTAATTAATAGTCACTTACAGGGGATTTAGCTGCTGCATTTGAAAAGCACTTTTTGACTTATGGAGGTCTAGACATTTGTATTAATAGTGCGGGGGTTAGTAGTTCTATACCATTCCACAAGGATCAAACAGATGATGGCACTAGAACATGGCGACACACTGTTAACGTGAATTTCACTGCCGTTATTGATTCCACTCGCCTTGCGGTAAGCTCGACATGTGACCTCGTTTATCCAATATCCTTGGACTAATTCTTTGCTTTATGATGTTAAAAGAAAGTTGGTTCACATTCTAAATGACAAAAGGGTTAAAATTTAATCCTGCATAATTACATTATAGATCACATGCTTAAGTTCACCATTTTCTGTTTAAACGAGTAAAAAGGGGCTAAACCGTTGTTTATTGTTGGCATTTATTATATCGTTTTAATAGATTAAAGCCATGGAAGCTGTCAAACGACCAGGTGTGATCATCAACTTGGGTTCTGCTTCTGGTCTTTATCCAATGTTGGCTGACCCAATCTACAGCGGCTCTAAAGGTTTGTCATATACCAGCTTTGATCAGGGTGTAATCCTTGAAAACAAATTTAAAATAATAAACTTGCCACACAAAAGGGCTTAAAGACCTATTCAATTCAATTTAAGTGAAGCTGTTAACAACATGAGCATTCATACGTGTGGATGACCATTGGGCTTGAAGTAGGGATTAAGCAACAGCCAGTGTTCCCTTGCTCTAAAATTTAAAACTGCTATTGTTGAGAATTGATTATGAGAGAATTGAGAGGAAATGAGGAAACTTTTATTCAATGTAAATATGTTAAGAGTAGAAAGGTCCTGTATGTAGAGAATATTTTGTGAATTATGGTCACTGTTTACAGCTTTCGGTAGTGATTTGACTAGGCTGTGTTACATGATACTTTAACAGCTGGGCTATTCATAGAGCGGATAAACACAAGTATTTATGTACTATTTATTAAGATTTTAATTTTTTTTTGTATTTTTTTTGCATGTTTCAAAATTTAATTGAGAATGGGGTTTGCTATCATCCAAATGATGAATTTTTGTGATTATCTTCTGATCCTCCAAGTTTCAGCTCGTTCCCCTCACAAATAAAACTTACGTATACCAAAATACAAAACGAAAAAGCAGTCACTGAAAAAGGCATCTTTTCTTGTGGCTTAACATATATTTTAAAAACTTAAAATAAAGATAAAAGCATGTAATATAGCTTTTCAATGAGTTAAATAATGGGTTTCAAGTCACCATCTCTAGAATTTATATGAATTAAGTTACTATATTCATTCCTAAAATGTTAAAATATACTTCTGCAGGTGGTGTTGTTATGTTTTCTAGATCACTTCGTCTATACAAACGTCGAGGAATTCGAGTCAATGTGCTTTGCCCTGAGGTAAAATCGTATTTGAAGGATGATTTTCTTGGTTATATTATTAATCTTCAATCTATGGAAATATTAAATACTATGTTGAAATTGACTGAAACATTTTTGAAAAGAGAAATCCTTTCACATGAAGAGAGTGTTACAACATTGTCTTTTTCAACACCAAGAAATTGGTGCATTTAGATATTTGAATAGATAGTCAAATGTACTCTTCCTTTCCAATTTATCTCCACACTAATCTGAGTCAGTGAAAGCTTTTATAGTAATTTCAATATGTTCATTTCCTCTTGGGAATAACAAGCCATAGTCTTGTGTATCCTTTAGATACCTCAATATATGTTTAGTTGCAACCATATGAGGTACTTTAGGATCATTCATAAATTTGCTGATCAATCCAACTCCATAAATAATGTTAGATCTGCTGTTACATAGAAACCTGAGTGATCTGTTTGAACAGAGTTGCATCCACTGTTTTTTCATCCAGCTCTTCAGTTAATTTCAACATTTCACTCCATAAATAATGTTAGATCTGCTGTTACATAGAAACCTGAGTGATCTGTTTGAACAGAGTTGCATCCACTGTTTTTTCATCCAGCTCTTCAGTTAATTTCAACACTTCACAAGTATATTTCTTCTGATGTAGAAATATTCCCTTGTTATTGTGTATGAATTCAAAACCAAGGAAATAACTGATAGTTCCCAAATTTGATATCTCAAATTTTGATTTCATTTTCACCTTAAATTGCTCAATCGCAGCTTGCACGTTTATTGTGACAATTAAATCATCAACATATAAGCACACAAGAAGCAGATTTCTGTGTTAAGTTGCCTTCACGTATATACCAAATTCCACTTTACATTTGCAAAGCCTTGCTTGGACAAGAAAACATCAATCAACTTATTCCAAGCTTTAAGGGCTTGTTTAAGGCCATACAAAGCCTTTTTTAATCTATTCACCTATTGTTCTTTTCCTTTAACTTCAAATCTCGGTGGCTGCAGAATGTACACCTCTTCCTCCAAAGGGTCATTGAGGAAGGCTAACTTTACATCAAGCTGACACACATTTCAACTTCTAGAACTAGTCACAACAATTACTAATCCAACTGTCTCCATTCTTATAATTGGAGCATATACATCTGTATAATCAATCTTGAGATTTGAAGGAAGTCTTTTGCTACTAACCTATCCTTATGCTTAGCAATAGCACCATCTGGTCTGAATTTGACTTTAAACACCCACTTCACATCAATAGGATGTTTATTTGGTGGTAAATCTACCAGCTCCCAGGTTCTATTTTTCTCAATGGCTTCTAACTCCTCAATCTTGGCACCCTTCCATTCTCTAATATCAAGAGTCTATTTTCAGTTTAATGGTTCGGTGTCAACCATAAATGCAAAGTATACCATCTCACCACTGTCAGAAATTGCATTGTCATTGTACAATTTATGAACTACAAGTTTGGTAGAGGGAAATCATTCTCTGAGATCTTCTTGTAGCAAGTGGAGGACTTTGGTGTAGTATTCTGCTTGGTCTTTCTACCTTTAAGAATGCATAGAATATGAGTTTCACTAGAATAACATGATGCAACTTCGTCTACAATAACATCTTTACTGATTACAATATGTTGTTTCACTAGATCATACAACTTATAAGTACTAGTTAGGTGATATGATATCCAACTAGTATAAGAGCTTCACTCTTATCATCTAACTTTTTCCTTCTTTCATTTGGAATATGCTTGTAACACATTGATCCAAAGACCCTTAAATACAAAAAGTTTAACTCCAGACCATGTTTCCTTGGGTGTAGCTGTTTTAGGCCTTTTCGTGGGACATCTATTAAGAACATAACCAGTAGTAGTCAGTGCCTCACCCCAATAACAGTGAAGTAAACCCTCTCCTTTTAGCATGCATCATGTCATCCAACAATGTTTTATTTCCTCTTAGCCAAACCATTATGATGAGGCGTGTAGGGTGTTGTTACTTCTTGTTCTATTCCTTTTGCAACACAAAATTTACTGCATTCTTTAGATTTATACTCACCACCACCATCTTTATGTTGCTTAGCTCTTTGTGGTACAATGGACCTGAAAACCTTCTTAGGCTGCTTCCCAATTACATATCCTTCACATGTTTCCAGTGGAGAATAAACTGGTGTTAGACGACATACCATTTGTTTATTGCTATGTTGATTTAAACTTTTAAAGTTTAAATGGCCGTATCTGTAATGCCACAACCATCTCTCTTCCTCAACATTAGTAGGGGATAGACACATCTAGATTAATTTTAAAGGTTCTATTCCTGGATAGGGGTGCTTTAATTACCAGCCGCTGCTTGGAATCATAGATTTCAACGTGATTTTGTTGCATGGTCATGGTGTATCCCTTTTCTAACAATTGTCCCAAAGTAAGTAGATTATTCTTCATTGTTGAAACATACAAAACATCATGCATATATGTTGTCTTACCATCTTTGCACATAATCATCACCTTCCCTATTCCTTCTGTAGAAATCGCGCTGTTGTCAGCAAATCTCACTATTTTTCACATTTGGATTGAGATCAATCAACCAGTCCTTAATTCCTGCCATAAGGTTTGAATAACCCGTATCAAGATACCAAGAAGAAAGATCTTCATCATTGTTTGTAGTTACCATCAACAACACTTGATCTGAGTCAGACCTGTCATCCTCTTGTGCCAAATTAGCCTCAACATCTTTCTTGTCTTTTTTATTAGCATTACGCTACCAACACTCGTATATATAGTGCCCAAACTTCTCACAATTATAACCTTAAACCTTTTTTTGTCAAGATTCTTCCTACCACCTCTACTTCTTCTTTTATATTGGTTGCCTCCTCTAGAGTTATAATTTTCATTTTGCTCATTACCATTGCCACCATAAGAATGTTGTTGAGAGATGGACATATTTGAGTCTTCACTTCTCCCCCATTTCTACCTCCTCTTGATCTTTCCCAACCTCTTATTAAGGCCTTTGCTATTCTGACTGGATCTGGCTTGTAAAGCTTGCTTTGCAACCCTTTCATTGCTTTTCCTCTCAATCACTATGTGCCCATGTGCTTCTAGAGAGTTTTGTAGCTCTTTGGTAGTTATAATCTCAAGATTTTTCGATTCTTCTATAGCAACAACGATATGATCAAACTAAGGAGTTAGAGTTCTCAGAACCTTTTCAACAATCTTGATATCATCCATTGCGCCATCACATGCTCGCATGGAATTAACTAGAAGTTGAATTCTGTTGAAGTGTTCAACAATAGTCTCTTGCTTAGTCATGGAGAGAAGTTCAACCTATTTTCGAAGGGATTATAGCTTTACTTTCTTGGTTTTTCCAGGATTTCCATAGACTCGTTTTAGAGTGTCCCACACTTGCTTTGAAGTTGTCACCTTTGAGATTTTCTGGAAAAAAATTGTAGAAAGGCACTATGCAACAAAACTTTTGTCTTGCAATCCAACTTCTTGTTCTCTTTATACGTATTCTCCTTTTGACACATTCTTGGGAGGTTCTTGAAACCGGATTTTCATCACTTCATCAACTTCTTGAAACCCAAGAATAACATCCATCTTCATGCACTAATCATCATAGACTTTTCCATCAAATATGGGAAGGTTCCCAGATATGGCACCCACGATAACCATGAACACACACTCGCAACAATGCTTCAATGGTGTTTTACCTTCTCAGAGGTCCCTCTCGAACCTATGCTCTTGATACCAAGTTGTTAGGGACATACAAACAAGTAAACACAAAACACATAACAAAAATGCTGAGAAACAAGAGGCTTTCTCATTATCATAACAGAATACAAGTGTACAAGTAGGCATGGCAACGGGTCAGGCAGGGCGGGTTTTGCCTCCTCGATCCCCACCCCCAACTTTTTTAACCATTCCCGTCCCGCACGGGTTAGAAATTAAGTCTCCATCCCCATCCCTGTTGGGTTTCGGGTTTCTCGCCTCGTCCCCGATCTATATTATTTTTAAAAAGGTAATTACATTTATAATAAATTAATTTTACTATGTATTTTTTATATATAAATAAATATTTATAATTTTATAATTATTATTAGTTAAATATATATATTTTAATTTATTATATTTATATTAAAATATGTATGTAAAAGAAATATTTAATTATTTTTATTTATATATATATATATATATATATATATATATATATAGAATATTTATAACATTATTATTATTATTATTATTATAACACTGTATTTGAATACTTATAACATTATTATTATTATTATTATTATATTATATTAAAACATTTGATTACATATATAAGTTAATTCATTTTTAAGTTATCATTTAAAAATATGAAATATAGAGTTTATAAGGAAATATTTAATAAGTTAATTCTTATTTAATTAGTTGGAAGTAATAAAAGTTTAAATTATCAATTCCTTTTAATATTTTAAAATACAATTATTTTATTAATATAAAATTTGATATATGATAAATAAGATAATAACATAAAAAATTATGACATAATAAAACCTAATAAATATAAATTATAAATAAAATAATATTAGTTATTACTAAAATTTATGTAAAATATTTAGAAAAAGATAAAGAAAAAAAAATTAACTTTATGTTCATCAAATTGGTTGAAAAGATAAAAAAAAAAATTGATGGGAGAGATTAAGGAAATGTGAAAAACGAAAGGTAAGAGAGAATAATGTAATAAATTAATTGATATAAAAGATTAAAAAAGATAAAAAATTAAAAAGTGGGTAGAAGAAAAATAAAAATGGTGAAATATAAAAAAATGACCTTATATGTAATAGAAACAGAAAATGAAATACTTTTAAAATATTAATATTTTAAAATTTAAATTTAAATATAAAATCGGGACGGGGATGAGGATAGGGTCGGGGTGGGGATTACATTACCCATCCCCGCCCCCGCTCCCGCCTCCAACTTTTTAAAGCGGGAAAAACCCGAACCTGTCCCCATCCTTGGTCAACTCGGGTTTTCCTCGTCAAAT